CTTTCCCTAGTCTTAGTTCGATATAACTGAAAAAACCCTTTAGGGCTTGTCTTCGCTTGCCCTGCTATGCGAACTTCATAGTTTCATTTTGCTTTCCTTATCTTTTTTTTTAACATTTCTAACCAGTTGTACGAATTCCTGTTCTAAACTAACTTCCCCATTCTTAATCCTTTTGTACCACGCTCTCTTTTTACCTATAAGGTTCTTCAGATCCTTTGTTATCCACTTTGGATCATTAGAATTCGATCTATTCAATTTATATGGTATACTACGTTCCTGGGCTTTGCTTAGAATATTTTTAAATAGGTTATATTTTGAATCCACATCGATATCTCCTTTTCCGTTTTCTGTCGCTGGGTTCACGTCTAGTCCACACCCCATCCCCAAGACATTCCCCTCTTTGACCCCCAAAAAATCTTAGGCTATTGAAATCAGCTCTTCGAAAATCAGGCACTTTAACAGAATTTTCTCCTACAGATCTATTCCATTCAATGCTAAATCTGATTTCTTTATGATCACTGTTCCATAGCTCACTCCCTATTTCCATGTCCTTAATTTGTGTTTCCCTGTTAGTTAACACTAAGTCTAAAATATTATATCCCCGTGTTGGTTCCTTAATATGTTGCATAAGAAAGCAATCATCAATTAATTCTAGAAAATCTTCTGCTTCATTATTCCCTGTTTTGTTCACCCAGTTTATTCCACTAAAATTAAAGTCACCCATGACATAAATACTGTTAGATCTAGATGCTCTAGATATTTCATCCCATAGATGCTTTGCTTCCATTCTGTCTAAATTTGGTGGCCTATATATAACTCCTATTATAATATTATTAGCTTTTTCGTTTAATTCTATCCAAATAGTTTCTGTTTGGCTCAGTTTTGATTCCCTCTTTGAGACTACATTTCAAATTGTCCCTAACATATATGGCTACTCCCCCTCCTTGTCTAATATGTCTATCTGTGTGAAATAGTTTAAATCCATTTATTTGATATTCAGCTAATAGTTCTCTATTTTCTACATTCATCCACGTTTCGGTAAGTGCAATAATATCTATTTTTTCTGTACAGACAAGAGCATTTAACTCGTTTATTTTGTTTCTTAGACTCCTACTGTTAGTGTAATATATCCTAAGTGTATTGTTACTATGAGGCTCCACTTCTTCCCTGATCATTTTGCCAAGTTGTTCCTCTCGCAAACATGTACTTTTATTATCTCCTTTCTCCATATCAATTCCCATACAGCTATCTACTAACAGTTTAAACCCAAACAATTCCCTCACACTACAGGATCCATCGAGTTGGCAACAGCAATAACCCTAGCTCTGGACAGATGTACCCCATCCCGAACATACAAATCATTACTTCCATAAAAAGTGTTCCCAGTTATCTATAAAAGATATTGCATCTGATTTGCAATATTTTTCCAGCCCGCAATTTACACCAAGTGCTCTCGAAAACAATAAATTTCCAACCCCCCCTTTCTTGGAAGAATGCCACATATGATCGGGATTCCTCCCTCCCTTGCTCCTATCTAATTTTATTGCTGTCTTAAACCTATGTATCAATGCCTCACTCCCAACTCGTCCAACATCATTTCCAATTGCACTGATACAAATAATGGGTTTGTTCCCATTTCCAGCCATAATATCATTCATGTTGTTCACAATATCACCAATTGCAGCTCCCGGATAGCAAACCCTTCACCTGTTCCCCCTATCTCTGGCACAAAAAGTTCTGTCTAAATACCTTACCTGGGAATCTCCCACAACCAAAATTCGCTTAGGTACTTTCTTTGCTTTCTGAGGGGCCTGCGCTTCGTTGCTTTCCTTTTCGAACGAACTGCTGGCTCACCACAGCACTCGTCCTCCAATGTGGCAAACGAATTAAAAGTCCTTAGGATGTCTGTAGACGGCTTAATCAAAGTCTTCTTAAGACCCCAGTCCTTTACGACTTTCCAAGACAAGGTCTTTTAAATACTGGTCTCCTCCTTTGTTTCTTCTTGGTGTTATTTCAGCTGTCGTACCTCCTCCCGTTGGGAATCCAATTCTGTCCTCAAAGCACCAACTAGATTCATCAGTTACTTCACTGCAACTTCAATATTGCTATCATAATATTACTACAATCAGGAGATCCAGCTAACACACCCTCTCACTGTGACTGAAAGCAAGCAGTGAGAGGGGTGCTTAAAGAATGCAAAAAGCTCGCAAAGCTCCTCTTTGCATTCTTTAAGCACCCTAGCAAACACTTCATAAGAAAATAAGAACAAAGGTAACTGCAGAAAGCCTATTGGCCCATTCGAGGCAGCTCTTATTTATAACCACACAATCCCACTCATATACATGTCCAACCCAGGCTTGAAACAATCGAGGGACCCCAACTCCACTACGTTTCGCGGTAAATGGTTCCACAAATCAACAACCCTGTTACTGAACCAGTATTTACCCAAGTCTTTCCTAAAACTAAACTTATCCAAATTATACCTATTATTTTGTGTTCTGTCTTGTGTTGATACTTTTAATACCCTATTATATCCCCTTTGCTAGGTCTATTCATCCATTTGTAAACCTCTATCATGTCACCCCTAACTATTCACCTTTCCAGCGAATGCAATTTAAGCTTTGTTAATCTTTCTGTATATGATAGATTTCTAATTTGGTGAATTAACTTTGTCATCCTACGCTGGACACGTTCAAGTGAATTTGTTTCCATTCTATAGAACGGCGACCAAAACTGAACTGCATAATCTAAATGAGGCCTAACCAGAGCAAGATATAACTGAAGAACAACACCAGGTGTCTTGTTACTAACACTTCGATTAATAAATCCCAGTGTCCTATTTGTCTTATTATGAACATTCATGCATTGATCCTTTGGTTTTAAGTTCTTACTAATCATAACTCCCAGATCCCTTTCGCAATCCGACTTCGCAATCTCAACACCATCTAGCTAGTATCTTGTAATGTTATCATCATTACCTAGCCTCAGAACTTTACATTTATATTCATTAAACTGCATCTGCCAATCTTTTGAAAGTTTCAAAACTCTATTTAGATCGAGACTTGACGTGACAGGGAGTCTTCTTCCGTGTTTATTTCCCTACCTTATCTTTAGCAAAGCTTCTGATACAGTTCCACATGAAAGACTGATTAAAAAGATGGAGGCTCGTGGTATTGGGGGTGTTACATTAAGTTGGATAAGGGCATAGCTATACCAAAGGAAACTGAGAATTAGTATAAATGGCGTTGTCAGAATGGGAAAATGTTGTAAGTGGAGTGCCTCAAGGCTCTGTCCTGGGACCTCTGTTATTCATAATATATATAAATGATCTAGCAAATCCACACGGGCCATGTTGAGGATTCGAACTTACGTCTGAGATCATCCCAGACTGAGCTACGACATGGTCAAAAGAGTTTAAATCAGAAGTTCTACTGAACTTACTTGGATCCTGCAGCCTCTCCGAAACACAAACCAGGATTTTTCACAACTCCTCCATGCACTCTGTTGGGGAATGGGAACTTTAACTCTGATATATTAATATTTAATAAAGAAGATTCGAAACACTCGAAGGCCCCTAAGGACCTTTTCTCTTGAAAAAAGGGAGAAACATATAAATGAATTATAAAGCTGACACTGAAATACAAGTGCCTATGGATAATTGGTAATTATTTGAAGAGCATAAATGGACTGTAATAATAATTAATTAAGAGTTAAAATCCTCAAATTCAACACTGTGGGTATTACTAAAATTTTTTATATATCTAGGAACTGGTGCTGGTTCGTCACCGGTTGATTAACTACAACATTAAAGATTATAGAATCAGAAATTAAATGTAAATTCTATGTGATTATAATATATTGAGATAATCAACCCTATGAAATATATTGGCAAATCATAGGAAATTACGTGTGTAAACATTGCTACACTCTAGGCAACAAATATTGAATGTAAGTGAATTATCTTAGAATCTCATATGTATAATAAATGTAGATCACATATATTAGAGACAATATTAGCATTAATCGAAGGAAATCTACAAAATAACGAAAAGAGGGCTTAGCTGTAAGAAGATTTCACTAAACCATTTCACAGTTCGAATAGTCGTAGACGTAATCGCATCACCCAAATAATGGATGAAACACCGGCAGGGGAAATCGTGTGTAGAGGAAGAATTTCTCAGCATGTCCTCACCAACACGCTGTAATCACTTAATCACTTAGATGTAATAATATTTGGTTTGCCTTTATTTTGGCACTGCAGTTAAAGACGATACATATTCGTGTCGTCACTGACTCTTTCATTACAGCGTGATGTGGTAAGTAGTGACCTGTTTTATGGTCATCATTATCAACAACTTCAATAAATTTACTATGGAGTTGTTGTTGTATCAATTCGTGATACAAATTTAATCTATCAGGTTGTTTCTGTAACCTTATTAATTGAGACTTTAATTGGGAAGCTGCCATGAAATAATTAACTGGAAGTTGTGGGTGATTCAACTTCCATGGCAATCTCACCCAGTACTGTCTGTCTTTATATACAACCGTATCCAGGTATTGCTGGTAAGTCCATGTATTATCTGGATTATGCTTCTCAGGGACAATACCTAAAGTGTCTAAATCCCACAATTTAAACAAAGAGGGATTAGACTCATTATCTTCAGATATTTCTTTGATCTGTAGGGGTGACTGCTACAAGCCTAGTCACGCCACTATAGAAGTAGCGGTGTGGATGGAATGGTTTGGTTGTTTGACAATTGATGCAGATTTTTGCTGGAGAAGCACCAGTCCGGTTAGCAACTTGCCTCCAGCAGATGACAACAAATTCATACCAAATTGTCTGGTGCATCCAGTGATAAATCTGTAATAATACTCGGCTCCAATAAGGATCCCAACGTCACTGAGACAGTCTGAATTTATTTTGTAGTCAGCTAGCCTCATGCTGTTATGTTTGAGATGCTTAACAGTGTGAGCAAGACCTTCCTTCAGACCTGCAGGTCTTAAGGAATCTTGTCCATAACTATTGCATATATTGGGCTAGTGGAACTTCCCAGTCGTACCAGTAACTTGACTACTTCATATTCACGGGGTCCACTATTAGCCAAGAAACCAGAGATGTTTAGTCTCACTCGGTTGGCAGCTTTTAATTTCAGTTGTTCAACTAAGTGTTTGGTGATGAAGGTCTTCTGTGAACTTTGGTCGAAAAGACCTCTAGTATTAACTCTAGATTTCTTGTTAATTAACTTTAATTGAGTCGTGGGCAGAGTAGTATTGTTGCCTGACTCAGTTGCAAGCACATTAATCTCCTGATGCACTTTGCAGTACTGAACTGATGTTGAATTAGTAGAATCCTTACGAGGATTCGTGGAATTTAATTGAGCCTTTCTACATAAGGCATGATGATGTGCACCCTTGTTGCATCTGCCACACAAACGTAAAGTGACTACACAATCAGAACACATATGTGATAACATACATCTGATCGCAAACGTCGTATCATTAATGCAAACACTCAAACGACAAAGCTGATGGGTACTTATCAACTGGGTGCCAAGTCATGTGGGAATAATAGGAAATGACATTGCAGACGAAGCTGCAAAACTTGCAACTAAGAGAAGAAATGTAGACATTTACATACCACACAGTCTATCACAGATTAAGAAAGTAATTAGAAACAGAGCAATGCAAAAGATGTTCAGTGACCACAACACAGCAGTTGCAACATCAGGATCTGTGGGTTGGTATAAGAATTCAACCAACTATGAACCACTTAGTTTGATGAAAGGGAGCAGTAGAGCGACAGAAGTACATTTACATCGCATCAGGCTTGGATACCCATGTGCATGGGAAATAGGCGTACAGGTTCCGGAAGATGAGAGGAAATGTCAGCACTGTGGAGAAATGCCCGACAGACCACTGGAACATTATCTAACACAGTGCACAGTTACAAACCCATTAAAATTTCGACTTAGATTCAACAGAGCAGAAGTTGTTAAACACATATGGCAAAATCTTACTGAAGCGACCTTACGAGTCATAAATACTCATACTCCGCCCAAGTAAAATAGAAACAAGCAACACTTAGTGGGCCAGCCAGAGGCTTAGGGCCCGCACAGGAATATCCTTGAAAAAAAAAATAATGGGTTCATGAGAGTCCATACACTTAGTGCATCTGTGCAATGCTTGCAGGCGTTTAATCCTAGCATTAAAATTAGGATAAACAATACAGTTATAAGTGATATGTTCTTGTTCACAGAACAAACACTTTCTCTCCCTCGTGGTACTTGTCTTCTTATTAGAAGCATCAACTACAGTCTCAGAGGGAGATACAGAATAAATACCTATATTACTACTCCTCTTTCCAGTGGATGGAGTAGGCTTAGGTTTAAATTTACTGGATGTATTTAAAGTCGATTTTGTTTTCACTGAATTCTCGGTATTAGGCTGCTTGGACTCTGGTTTAATTTTATCATGAGTCTTTAGCCTGTTGACTGTGATTCTTAAACCCTCAAATATTTGACCGAGAGTGAGAAACTCGGTTTTGTAGTGAGAGTAGATTTCTGCTAAAACACTACGAGGAAGTTTCCTGTGTAAAAGCAACTTAATAGACCACTCGGAAGCTGGTACATTAACTTTAGTACCTAAAGCTTTCACTAGAGATTCTACTTCCAACCTAAAAGTCTGAAGAGAATCTGGCCTGTTACTTGGTGCTTTCATGTCTAGCAATTGATAATACAGATTAGCTATACTTAACTCTGTGTTGTGGTAATTCAACTTCAACAGTTTGATAGCTTCTGAATAATTACTCGCTGTGAGGGCTAAATTGTTTATCACCTTCTTAGCCTCCCCTTTAAGAAGGCTGTTTAGGTAAGAAAATTTATATACCTTATCAATAGAAGGTTTTGAGTGAATATGAACCTCAAATGAAGTCCAAAATGTATCCCAGTTTTCTTCATCCAGTCCAGCAAATGTAGGCAAGTCTAGAGTAGGTAAACGAGCCTCTGATAGTAATACACTGAATTGAGATATATTGGCATTTGGATTCAGTTTATGTTTATCTACTATATCATGTAGAACATTAAACTTGTCTTGGGTGTCATTATCAGCTATAGCTTGGTCTATGTCCTCAGGATCACTGTCTGCATCATTTAATACAGCGATATAAGACTTGATCAAATTTGAGATCAGCTACTCTCAGAGACTTTCAATTTGTTGTAATCAATGGGAGTTGCTTTGGATAATGTTTCAGACTTATTGAGCAGTCTGGTTAGATGGCCTTTAAGACCTATGTATGTTCTCCTTGACTTCTCAGGAGTAGCCATGGTGGCTTTATGTTCAAGTTTCAAAGGACTTGAATAAGTATTGCTGAAGTAGCTTGAGTACTTTCTCATTTGTTGGCAAATATCTTGAAGGTAGCCTAAAATATTCTGACTAGGTTATGCACTACCTCTTTGGAGGTTTAATTTACCTACCTAACAATAATAACTAGGATTTGAGTGGTATTTGAATGTCACTATTGGAATTTCGTCTGGCTAGCCCTTTATTATCACCATTCGATGGGATAGTGAACATTCAGTAGCCCTCAAAAGGTGTGAAATAATAATAATATGGTAAATTACTTATTAAATGGTTATGTATCCCACCCTATTCTAAGGTCAGCACAACAGTAAATAATATAATAAGGATAAATCCCACCCTGATTAGGGTCAGCACAATAGTAAATATTATAAATGTACACTACTGTCTAGTTCAGAACTAGATGAGATAATTTCTACAAAGGAAAGTACTAAATTATTTAGTCTGCATTTGTGCAAAACTTAGCACAACCAGTCTAAATTCCTACCTAATAAAGGTTGGCATAAAAAACTGATGGTGCAGTAATGTGAATATAACTGTGCTGTGTTTTTGGATTTTTATATTTTTTGTTATATATAAATGTGCATTTAAACACACAAGTGAAAGATTAAATATATACAGCTAAATTTAGCTTGTCAGCTACAACCTTCTGTGATGGTTGATAGTGTTAACTACTTTGTCAACTACATGTGACCTAGACTCACCTGACTGGTGAACCCCATCTGATGCAGGGTTTTGCCTATATGGTCTGGCTGTAAATTGTATGTAAGTGGCATCCAATCGTACTCTTTTCCTCAGCCGAAAGTTAATGTATTTAGCAGCACATTGGTAGTATTCTGGACTTACTCCCCAACGATTATCATTACTTAGCGAGGTTCCACTAATGTGAACACTACTGAACTACTAATAAGTTTAAATGAGGAAATTATTGTTTTAAGATGATTAATTACTTCAGCTGGGTGCCGAGTAGGATGGATGTCATTGCCACCTAAGTAAATTATAGTTAGATGGTGAGGCCAATCTAACGCAGGTGTTAATGTAGAATTATTGTAAAAAATGTGAGCTGTTGCTCCTGGTGACCTGAAAATTCTTACCTCAGTGTGAGGTATAAGTCTGAGTGCTGTGGGCAACTGACTGGGTCCCACTAGTGCTACCTTATACATGAAGTATGGACAGCAAATGTTAATTATAAATTTGTGTGGATTAGGTTAATATAATGGTACACTGCTGGTGATAATGAAATATGTATAGCCTAAAATATTACACATCGTGGTTAGTGATTGGTTAATCACAGGTTATAGGACCAGCAGATTGATTTAGTAAATTGGTCACTGAAATATTTATGGGATTAGTAATTTATCCAGTTCGAAGTACCAAAACGTTGTTTGGGCACTGAGAACCGATATAGATTTTAATATTAGTTGTAATTTAACCGGTTCGTTAAGGACTAAAATGTTGGGGAATGGGAACTTTAACTCTGATATAATAATATTTAATTAAGAAGATTCGAAATACTCGAAGGACCACCCACTTTTGAGAAAAGAGGGAAAACATATAAATGAATTATAAAGCTGACACTGAAATACCAGTGCCTATGGATGATACGTTATTTGGTAATTATTTGAAGAGCATAAATGAACTGTAATAATGATTAATTAAGAGTTAAAATCCTCAAACTCAACATTAAGGGGTATTACTAGAAATTAATATATTTCTAGGAACTGGTGCTGGTTCGTCACAGTTGATTAATTACAACATTAAATATTAAAGAATCAGAAATTAAATGTAGATTCTATGTGATTATAATATATTGAGATAATCAAGCCTATGGAATATATGGAAATTACGTGTGTAAAATTTGCTACACTCTAGGCAACAAACATTAAATGTAAGTGTAAAAATCTTAGAATCTCATATGTATAATAAATGTAGACCACATATATTAGAGACAATATTAGCATTTATCAAGGGAAATCTACAAAATAACGAAAAGAGGGCTTAGCTGTAAAAAGATTTCACTAAACCCATTTCACAGTTCGAATAGTCGTAGACATGATCGCATCACCCAAATAATGGATGAAACACCGGCAGGGAAAATCGTGTGTAGAGGGGGAAATCGTGTGTAGAGGAAGAATTTCTCAGCTTGTCCTCACCAACATGCTGAAATCACAGAGATGTAATAATATTTGACTAGGCTAGAGAATTATTCCACTATTCATTGAGGACTTGAGAATAACGTGGAATGAAACTAACATTGGGTTTGTGGTCGGTAGACGACTTTACAGAGAATTACCTACAGTAATAATTTTAGACTAAGTGCACTCAAATCCAAAAATAATACTTAACGTAGGTTTGAGTAGTGAAATATGTGACTACGACCGTGCGCACCACCCGAGCAGGTGATCCCATTAGGCTTCCCTGCTCAGGTGGTGCACAGGTATGTAGTCACATAGGGTTGTGGGGGTTCCCCGGGGTGTGCGCGCATGCCGTCCGGCCGCTACTTGACACTGGGAAGAATCATGTTGGAGTGGGGCAGCTGCATGTTGGGGTATCTGGGTCATGTAGGGTAAGTATAGGAAGAGGTGTGTTGAACAGGTGAGCAATAGTAGTAGATGAATATGTATGAGTATGTTCCGTAGAGTTAATCGTGTATATATATATATATGTATGAATGAAAACTCACACCCCAGAAGTGACTCGAACCCATACTCCCAGAAGCAAACGCAACTGGTAACTACAGGGCGCCTTAATCCGCTTGACCATCACGGCCGTCAAAAGGAAGTGATAGCCGAGGCTATTTGAGCCACTTCCCCGACGGCAACTCGGATGGTAATCTTGGGCATAGCATTTCACCAAATCACCTCATTCTTTGGGGCACACGTGAGGAACACAAATGCGAACAAGCCTGAATGGTCCCCAGGACTATATGCGAATGAAAACTCACACCCCAGAAGTGACTCGAACCCATACTCCCAGAAGCAAACGCAACTGGTAACTACAGGGCGCCTTAATCCGCTTGACCATCACGGCCGTCAAAAGGAAGTGATAGCCGAGGCTATTTGAGCCACTTCCCCGACGGCAACTCGGATGGTAATCTTGGGCATAGCATTTCACCAAATCACCTCATTCTTTGGGGCACACGTGAGGAACACAAATGCGAACAAGCCTGAATGGTCCCCAGGACTATATGCGAATGAAAACTCACACCCCAGAAGTGACTCGAACCCATACTCCCAGAAGCAAACGCAACTGGTAACTACAGGGCGCCTTAATCCGCTTGACCATCACGGCCGTCAAAAGGAAGTGATAGCCGAGGCTATTTGAGCCACTTCCCCGACGGCAACTCGGATGGTAATCTTGGGCATAGCATTTCACCAAATCACCTCATTCTTTGGGGCACACGTGAGGAACACAAATGCGAACAAGCCTGAATGGTCCCCAGGACTATATGCGAATGAAAACTCACACCCCAGAAGTGACTCGAACCCATACTCCCAGAAGCAAACGCAACTGGTAACTACAGGGCGCCTTAATCCGCTTGACCATCACGGCCGTCAAAAGGAAGTGATAGCCGAGGCTATTTGAGCCACTTCCCCGACGGCAACTCGGATGGTAATCTTGGGCATAGCATTTCACCAAATCACCTCATTCTTTGGGGCACACGTGAGGAACACAAATGCGAACAAGCCTGAATGGCTTTTGCTTCTGGGAGTATGGGTTCGAGTCACTTCTGGGGTGTGAGTTTTCATTCGCATATAGTCCTGGGGACCATTCAGGCTTGTTCGCATTTGTGTTCCTCACGTGTGCCCCAAAGAATGAGGTGATTTGGTGAAATGCTATGCCCAAGATTACCATCCGAGTTGCCGTCGGGGAAGTGGCTCAAATAGCCTCGGCTATCACTTCCTTTTGACGGCCGTGATGGTCAAGCGGATTAAGGCGCCCTGTAGTTACCAGTTGCGTTTGCTTCTGGGAGTATGGGTTCGAGTCACTTCTGGGGTGTGAGTTTTCATTCGCATATAGTCCTGGGGACCATTCAGGCTTGTTCGCATTTGTGTTCCTCACGTGTGCCCCAAAGAATGAGGTGATTTGGTGAAATGCTATGCCCAAGATTACCATCCGAGTTGCCGTCGGGGAAGTGGCTCAAATAGCCTCGGCTATCACTTCCTTTTGACGGCCGTGATGGTCAAGCGGATTAAGGCGCCCTGTAGTTACCAGTTGCGTTTGCTTCTGGGAGTATGGGTTCGAGTCACTTCTGGGGTGTGAGTTTTCATTCGCATATAGTCCTGGGGACCATTCAGGCTTGTTCGCATTTGTGTTCCTCACGTGTGCCCCAAAGAATGAGGTGATTTGGTGAAATGCTATGCCCAAGATTACCATCCGAGTTGCCGTCGGGGAAGTGGCTCAAATAGCCTCGGCTATCACTTCCTTTTGACGGCCGTGATGGTCAAGCGGATTAAGGCGCCCTGTAGTTACCAGTTGCGTTTGCTTCTGGGAGTATGGGTTCGAGTCACTTCTGGGGTGTGAGTTTTCATTCGCATATAGTCCTGGGGACCATTCAGGTTTGTTCGCATATATATGTATATATTTAGGGGTACCACCATTGGTTTAATTAAAGGGACCCACATCCTCGAAGAAGAAAATAAATAGTGTTCAGAGAAGACCTTGTGGATTCTCACTGAATACTTTAATTATTTCCTCTCCTACCACCCCTATTATTTTTTTTTTATTTGATTTTATTGCAATGCTACAGTTTACAGAAAACACACACTTATATAACAATATACCAATCAGTGTTCGAAGACCTCTTCCAGCTCCTCGGGGGTCGGGTGCGTACCCAAGATACAGCACACATTTCCCCTCTGAACAGCGACACTGAGGCGCTGGAATATAAAACTGGCCGCTCTTGGGTCTCTAGTCTTCCCAATGAGTTCCTCGCCCAGCTTCTTCAGGAACTTAAGTGCACATT